ACATTCATGTCTCATCAAATTAGGAGTCATATTTAATCTGTGGCTTTGCGACCCATGAAGCTCTCTGCAGAGAGATTTTGGGAGCAATGGGTCACCTCTATTTTCCAGGAGCACATCAAGTCTGTTACATTCAGAAGCCTGCAGCCAGTGTGGATTGGATTAAGGTCACAGCAGAAGGAGTGGAGATGGGTGGACAACACACCCTTCAACCCCAAAATGTGAGTGTATCCACACACTGTGGATGTAAAAAGCAGCTTTTCTCCATTTCAGACCCCTTTCATGCCTTGACCCATCTCTCCAAGATGTAAAGGTCTTGTATTCCTTCTGCCAAAGCTCTGCAGACCAAAAGCTGGGGTACCATACCAGAGCATGCTAACCCCACAGCTTCCACCAGCCACATGCAGTAACACAGCTTTTCATGCTCCACACATGCTCCTCACAGATCTTACTGCGAGCACAGCAACTTCTCTCAAACCTTGGCATCCACTAGTGAGAAATGGTGCAGGATGATCAAATGGTGCAGGAGAAAGACAGGAGGACCCTCCCACCTCTCCATTTCTGCAAGACTGGGAGTTTCCTCCTCTTGAGCAATTTCAGTTTTGTCCTGCAGGTTTGGCACCCTGAAGGAGATGGAAGAAGAAGGATGCGGGACGCTGAAAGCCAAGGCCTTGGAGGTTAATAGATGCGATGCCGAACACAAGTGGGTTTGCAAAAAGAAACCTTTCCTGCTCTACCCAGTAACACCAGGAGTTGGGGAGAAATGTGTTGCCTCCATCTGACAAGTGCCCACCCCAAAATACCCATCTTAGGAGATGCTTGCTGCCAATATTTGGGGTGAAATCAGCCTCATCCTCACCATTTGTGGGGCATTTCAGGGTTTGCAAATCTGTATCCCATGTGGCTCAAGACCAGTTTGGGGAGCACAGATGAGCCCCTGAGCTGGGAAGCCAGAAAGTCTGTGCCTCAGGTGCAGTGTCAATAGAGCTACAGCATCAATAAAAGCTTATTAAAGTGGTTTGCTTCAATTTATTGAAATAATATAGGCAAGAGCACAGGTGCTCATCATGCAAAGTTCATATACAAACATTGCAAAATTCAACTCAAAAAAGCTTTCCTGAGCCTCAGATGTTACTCCTGCATGTCTTCTCAGGCACAGCTGAGAGCATCAGCACATGGACTGATGCAGACAGCTGGGTTTTGCTCAAGTTTGAGGGATTTGGAGGGGTTTGTTAGTCTCTTGCATTTTTTGTTGTTGCTTCGGGATTATTTGCTGCTGTTGTTTTGGAGAGGGTTTTTTTTAATTTGGTTTTGTTTGCACACTTGTTTTTGAGTTTTGAGAGACAGGTTGGGGTTTTATTTGGTTGGTTTTGCTGTTTTTACCAAATTCTCTCCCCACCTTTTTTGATCCCCTTCAAACAACAGCAAAATCTATTCACTGAAATTAATTCACCCCAAATGCAAAGCTTAACAAGTATATGCCCTGACAACAACAACGAGATTTCATTGTGGGAATAAGCTCTAAACCATACAGGGGCTTAGTTCTCAATAAATAGACCTGGAAAAAGCACAAATAAATTCCCTGCCTTTGCACAGGGGATTCAAAGGGGGAAAGTTCAGTGCTTATTTCTAAATAGGATAGAGAAGGGCTTGGCAGCAACATCAGCCAGTTCCCTCAGGGCCCTGATGGGACATCTCATGGGATAGTTGTACTTGTCATTCAGAGGTACCTAGATGGGCTGGAGGTACCTAGATGGGCTGGAGTATTTGTCTGAGAGAAATCAGTGAAAGATTAACAAGGATGAATGCAGAGTCCTGCATCTGGGGAGGAATAACACAAGGCACGAATA